AATCTGTCTCAAGTCTGAATGGTTCATACTCATATCTCAAAAACTGCTACTGTATTGTATACTTTTCTAATGTATGAAATTTATATTATTATAAAATACACTTGATATATTTTGTTCAGTGTATAGCTTTGAACATTGTTTTTTAAATTTAGTTTTCTATGATTATTTACATTAAAAAGTCTGGAAAGTTAAGATAAAATAGGAAGTATAAAACAAAACGAAACAAAAAACCCCTTAGCATCCCAGTTGTTTTATGTCAGATTATAAGAGTGCATTTTCTTATTTCACAGTCTAATTCAGGTAAGTGGGGTAGGAGGACCTTTCATTCATTCATGGGTCTAGGCTACTATCAYCTGGTCACCCTTTCATCTATCTTTATAAAGCCTTGGTGTGCTCATCGGATTCTTCTGTATCCARGAAGTGGAGGCAGAGTTTGTGGAGAATTGTGTTGAAGTCTGTAGGAGCARACCTGGGAGTCATGTGACTTTATTTCCACCCACTTTCTTTTAGTATTTAGTCATGAAGCCAGTTTAAGAGCAGAGTAAACTGGAAATATAATCCAGCTATTAGTCCAGAAGGGGAAAAAAATGCCATTTTTTTTTTGGATAATACTCAACATTGTTGCTACCACAAAGATGATATTTTTTTTCTTGTAAAATAGTAGAATAACATGGTCATTAAGATAAAATACAGGGCTGGGATTGTGGCTCAGCGGTAGACCGTTCACCTAGCACGGGTTTGATCCTCAGCACCACATAAAAAAATAAAGGCATTGTGTTGTATCCATCTACAAAAAAGATTCTCTCTCTCTCTCTCTCCCCCCTTTAAAAAAAAGATAAAATACACTATAGAGTTCTACTTGCAAATATCTTGTTGTGACTTTTTGATCTCACTTCCATAATGTAAGTTTCACCATTCCTTTCGCTAGCTGTTACCTTTCCTTTTCCAATGCTTGTATATGTGTATGTGTATGTATTGATATATATGCTATGTATGTTTTTATGTTTATGTGTGTGTGTACCCATATTAAGCGCTATCATTTCTGTCTCATTTCAAATGATAATACTGATACTTAAATGACAYGTGAAGATGGAGTTTTATATATCATAAGGTGATTAATTTCTAATGTACTAAATCATGCAGAAACAGTTTGCTTGATTTCAAATTTTAAAAAAAGTAATGGAAATTCTTTTTATATTGATTGTATTGGTGACACACATGTCAAATCTGATCAAATTGCATATTTCAAATATGTGCATTCTATTGTATTTAGTTTTTGTGAGAATGGATAATTCTTATATCAACTCAAAACTAGGGAAAAATAAATATGAACTTATTTATTTTTCTAGAATTTCCTTATTTCTCTATGAGAACATCATAATTAATTCATCAAGTTCTTAAATGATTCTAGTGAAATTTAAAATAAAATTGCATTTAATTTACAAATTTATGATAGTCTATAGCATCATAATATGARTCTTTCCAGGAACATGGTATATATTTCCATGTATTCACTCATTCTTGAGCTTTTAAAATTTGCTTGAGCCTTTTTGAGAGGATGGGGAGCAATAGAATATTTGAAGGTTTGGCTCAAGCAGAATGAAATTCTCTTTCAGGCCATAAACACTTCTTTGTAGTTCATGCTACATAGAGATAAGCACATAAAATGATATGCAGTTCCTCAATGTGATAAGACCAGAGGGAACACTTATCATCCCAAAACATCTTCAGGCCAAGAAACACATTGGTTGGATTTACTTGCTGACATTTTAAAATTGACTTACCTGGGCAATGAAAAGTTTTCAACTATCAAAACTTTCTTGGATTAGTTTGAGAAAATATTGAGAAATCCATAGTTGAATTATTTGATTGCTTGTACTTTTAACAGAAGATATTTGTTGGTTAGGCTCTTTAAAACTTTAAAACATCACTTCAACATTTATATTGTTTTATTTTATTGTAGGGTTTATCCAAGAGTAACCTAAATGTTCTTTAATAAATTATTTAAAATTAATGGCCAAAATCAATTGCTGCTTAATATTTTTCCTTRTGAAATCTATTGCWAAGTTTTCAATTTATTTTAGACATTTTACTTAAAATCAATTTGCTTAATGTTTAATCTGAGATATTTGATTTTGCTTTTGTTTTATGTAGAACTTTGTAGAATTCTACACTGTCAAGGTCTTTCAGAGCTAACCAATTTTTTTTTTTTTAGTTGAAGATGGACACAATACCTTTATTTTATTTATTTATTTTTATATGGTGCTGAAGATTGAACCCAGTTCCTCACGTGTGCAAGACGATCGCTCTACTGAGCCACAACCCCAGCCCCTAACCAGTTTTATCATTCTTTCATTCAGTGATTATTGGGCATTAAAATTCTAAATGAATTTTCTTTTTCTGTCTGCATAATTTTCCATTTTGTAAAAATCAATTGGTTGAAATGGCCAGCTAAAGCCATGGACAATTCTCACATCAACTATTCTATTTTCCCTTGTGCCCTAGAGTTTCTAGCAGTGAGCATCAGAAATACTTCACAGAAGCTGGGATATTAGCTTAGTGGTAGAGCATGTGCTCAGCAAGTGCAGAGATTTGGGTTCTAGCCCTAGCACCAAAAAGTAAAAACAGAAGGAAACAAAACAAAAACCTCACAAAGTATGTCATTGCATAGATTGATAAGTGACTGCTAGGTAAAATTAATTTTGGTTCAAGGGAACATTTTTAATGTGTCATTTGGTTTTATCTTTTCAGAAACAAATTTTCTTAATTTTTAATTTTAACTATATGCTCTACTTTTTAAAGTTAATGAAATAATTTCTTCTACTATTTGTTCTTTGTGCTTTTTGGTTTGAACTTCTTGCCTAAAATTAAATAAGATACAAGAAGCCCTTGTAGTTTAGCAATTTTTCTAATTGCTAAACTAATTTTTGAATGCTTTAACTATCCAAACAACAAAACTCAATACTCCAACCACTAAGCCAATTCTTATTCCGAATGGTAGTATGGGAACCGGCTTACACTCACATGAGTTGGAGAGCAGTCAGTAGATCRCCCTTTTATTTTTATTGGACAAGTAGCTTGCAGATAATTTGTGAATGCAGGGGGAAATTTGTTTCTAAGTCTTTATTCTGGTATCTTTTCCTACCTGATATCTAATGAGAAATAATGATGCCTACATAGTGAAGAGTTAACTACTCAGGGTTCTAGCCTTTGCCCTTGGCCTGTGGGAGGTGATATTTCGCCTGAAAGGAGTTTCCTTGTTGACCTGAGTGCTCTTACCCATGGACAGTCTAACAATGTGACTTACATGCAGTTGTTGGTGCATGCCATATCAGTTCCCACTGTTGAGGAACTAGAGACTCATGGTCAGTTATGCTGGCAATGTGAGGTCAGTCCCCCMAAAAAACTCAAGGCTTCAAAAGTTTAGGTTGGCAATATTCAGACTGTCATACATTATATCCAAGAGGAGGTAATGCCATTCAAGACTCCACAGAGCATGGTCTGAACTCCACATTGGTATTCCTCTCAGATTCTGCCCTATGCACCTTTATTTTGGCTGGTTCTAATTTATATCTTTTCACTATAATAAAACTATAACAAAATATGACAATTTCTTGAATCCTGTGAGTTGTTGCAAAGGTTTCAATTTATTTTAGGCATTTTACTTAAAATCAGTTTTAAGTAAAATGAGGATACTCATGAGAATCCTGAAATTTATAGCCTATTGATCTGAATAGGAGATGACTCTGGGTGCCTTTGAACCTGGCATCTGTAACTAAAGTAAGTGTGGTTTTCTGAATATTGTTCCTTCAAACCACATAGTTTATCTAACTCATAATCATGTTCATGATTATTGTAATATATAAGTGCAGAGTAGTGCTTCATGTTATCACCTAGGTGTACCTATAAGAAAAAGATCTACTTTATTTAAGAAATTTCACTGAATAACTGATTTATAAAGCATTGAGAAACAGAATTCTGCAATTCTTTTTCTTAAAAGCAATATTGTTTTTGAATTTATGCATTAGTGCATTTTAATAACATGTGTTTACCATAGAGATAATTAGAATATGATAATATCTAAGATAAATAAAGTCTGAAAAGAAACRACCATATTTGTGAGCAATTTGAATGACTTCACCTTGGGACACTAGTTAAATTAAAAGCCTATTCAGACTAACTGGCTATAACCTAAAATTCTCTTCTATTGTTCTTAGGCGCTTTTTAGTTTGATAGTAATCAAATACTCATTCTTATTTTATAGCGATATCTTGATGAAAGATGGGAAAGATCAATTAAACCACAAAATTTGGCAATTTAAAAGCCTATTTTGAATAGAGATAAAATACTTCTTTATTTGAAGCTTTTCCAGGTTTCATTGTGTTCCAAGTTAYTAGGGATTAAAAACTCCTATATAAAAGGGTTGAAAAACCACAAAGATTGCTGATAAATAACTCTGTATTGAGTCTAGAGGAAATAGTTATGGTGAGACCAGATGACTGGGGTCCTAGAATGCCTTTATTAATGATTTGGGACAGGCTGTAAAAGCATTTTAATGAGATTTCTAAGAGGCTAAATGAAGGTCTTTCAAATACCACAAAACTGACCAAATTATGGAGYTGGGAATTAGGAACCTGTGATGCAGTTATTTCCAAGGATTCAAGTGGTAACATTCAGGAAGAGGTAATGACAATCATGAGAGCAATTTTCGATTTCCCATAAAAATGTTTATCTGAGCTTGACTTACTCTTTCATTATGTAGCTAATATATACTTTGGTTAAATTCTGATAATTTTCACAATTGCCAATGAGTCTGATATGTCACTTGAAACCTAATGTCACTGTTAATACTTTATTAATATTTAAAAGTAACAAAATAGGTTCCCATCTCTGCTGCTCAGACTTTCTCAGACTTCATATTGAAGGGAGGCATGCATGACCTGTCTGTCATCTTAGCCTCCTAGCAAACCTGTGATTCAACTTCTCCAGGTCAGGTGCAGTGGGGGCAGGAGAGTTTATGAGTCCCTGTGAGAGTGGAGACAACACAGGTGAACCTTCTGCCCTGGAAGAGCARAGAGGACCTTTACCCCTCAACAAAAGCTTGTTTTTGGGCTATGCCTTTCTCCTCACCATGGCCACAACCAGTGACAAGTTGGCCAGCCGCTCCAAATTATCAGATGGTCCTAYAGGAAGCAGTGAGGAAGAAGAGGAATTTTTAGAAATTCCTCCTTTCAACAAGCAGTACACAGCATCCCAGCTTCGAGCAGGAGCTGGCTATATCCTTGAAGATTTCAATGAAGCCCAGTGTAACACAGCCTACCAGTGTCTCCTAATTGCGGATCAACATTGTCGAACCCGGAAGTACTTTCTGTGCCTTGCCAGTGGGATTTCTTGTGTGTCTCATGTCTGGGTCCATGACAGTTGCCATGCCAACCAGCTTCAGAACTACCGTAATTATCTGCTGCCAGCTGGGTACAGCCTTGAGGAGCAAAAAATTCTGGATTGGTGAGTATTTGAGAGCCCATCCAGAGCTGAAGAGATAGGAAGACAGCAAGCTTTTGGAAGAATCTAGGCAACCACGTGAAAACCCCTTCCAGAATCTCAAGGTACTCTTGGTATCAGATCAACAGCAGAACTTCCTGGAGCTCTGGTCTGAGATCCTCATGACTGGAGGGGCAGCCTCTGTGAAGCAGCACCTTTCAAGTGCCCATAACAAAGATATTGCTTTAGGGGTATTTGATGTGGTGGTGACAGACCTCTCATGCCCAGCTTTGGTGCTGAAGTGTGCTGAAGCATTGCAGCTGCCTGTGGTATCCCAAGAGTGGGTGATCCAGTGCCTCATTGTTGGGGAAAGAATTGGATTCAAGCAGCATCCAAAATATAAACACGATTATGTTTCTCACTAAAGATACTTGGTCTTACTGGTTTTATTCCCTGCTATTGTGGAGATTGTGTTTTAACCAGGTTTTAAATGTGTCTTGGGTGTAACTGGATTCTTTGCATGGATCTTGTATATAGTTTTATTTGCTGGACTTTTATGATAAAATAAATGTTGAATCTCTTTGGTTGTAGTAAAAAAAAATTAAAAATAAAATAAAAGTAACAAAATAGGACCTGACAATTTTAGTTTTGAGAAAAATGTCATTGAGCAAATTAATTATTCATCTAGAGCCATTTGATTTTCCTATTTATGAACTCTATAGGTAATGACTTTTGCAATAGCAAACATGCATATTTTGCTATACAGTTTGCATAGAATCTGTATCTAATCTTATCGTTAACATAAATTCCAAGTGTTATATAATTTTTTTTTCTTACTACTTGTCTTTGATTTTATAACCTTTGAAATCCTTTAAGGCTTATCATCATTTTCCAAGAATAGTGTTGAGAATAATTCTAAATCATTTAGTAAATTGCTGCTTTTGTACTTTCCATTCAGTGCCAGGAGTGGCAGTATAGTTGAAAGAGTTAATGTAGCTTCGATTGGTGTCTATTTGCAACCACAGAGTGGCAGGCCCAGGGAGAATATGGCTAAGTGCATGTTTGTGGAGTCAGCTAGTAGCAGCAGGATTTCAGAAAATGACTTAATGCTTTAGTCATGTGCTTCAGTTCCAGGGGTTGGGGCTATTAGAGTGAAGACAATATTCACAGTGTCTTACACCTTCTGAGTGTTCGACATTATGTTATCCTTCCAACTGTGAAATGAATTCTGGGTTGTCCTCAAATCCCAGTAAGTAACTAAAACTGCTCTAATGTAAAGGAGGTAGCAGAGCAGTAATTACCGCACACATTTAAAAATGTACCAAGCTCATTTACTCTGTGTTTTTAAAGTGATACATAGGGTGGCTAAACTGACACTAATTAGTCTCCTGGGTAATGCCACAAGATGGCATGCACAAGGACAAGATTATTGCAATCATAGCTTATTTCAAGTCAGGTTTCACAATAGTTTAAAGACTAGGAATAGTGGGTGTGGTATCAACCCCCAATGTTTGAACAGGGGTTGTAGGAGTTTATGGCCAGAATTCAAACTAGATCACTTTAGAGCAGCTCATGAGGTACCACCATGCTGAATCATCAGAAGACATTGGCCAAGGTGTGAACCAGGTGGTCTCACACAGTGCCTTCTGAACGGGGATGCTAATTATTCTCCACAATGCAGGTTCCCACACAAATTATGATGATTCTCAGTTTGACATGTACAGAGAACTCAAAATATATCTCTGAGTATTTTACAAGTACAAACACAGAAAGTAATCCAGACTCGTTTAATATCTAAAATCAGTTCTCTTATTATTTCTGGTTTATAAATAAGGAGAATGAGACACAGTAGCAAGTTATCTGAGCTCACATAGTAGGTATACTGTCATTGATCTGACCATAGTCTTTTTACTCTCTATCACCATTGCATGATGATTTAGGAATTTTTAAATATTTTGCACCTATACTTAAGGTATATGTAGGAAATTTTCAGACTTTGTTTTGACAATCAAACTTAACACAGAAAAATGAGTTGGAGTTGGCATTTTGGGAGAAATAATACCTGGAGATATGCACGACTTCACTACACCGGAGAATGTCACCAGGTTAAAATATATCTTATTAGATCATAGGTGTTTGTAGACATTTGGTGTGTTGTGTAGTCCTGGTTCCATGCAAACATAGAGTTTAAGAAGGTGCTTGAAATTCTTGAAATCATGTTTTGTGGGTACATATCTTGSTTCAAATAGCTAATGTTTTGATCAAATTCTCAAAGAATTCTGTCACTTCTGAATAGTGAGCATCCAATCTAAATGTGTTTAGATAGCTTCTTATTTTCCTGCTAATGAGTGCCATGACTATACATACCCTTGAATTTGTCCATTTTCACCTTCATTTCATTCCCAATCTTCTATCCCAAGCCTATCACCCCAGAGGTCCAGACTTTCTACCTTTCTTTCCTTTGCCTACACCTAAGACCTGATAGCARAGGCAATTCCGTCTTCTTTGAAATCAATTCACCCTTCTCTTGGTTTACCAAAGGACTTTCAAATTCAGGTCTAATGGCCTGAAGGAGATTGGCTTACTTTCTTCTAATTACTCCTCACTTTGCTGAATCTCCATAGTGTATTTTGGTTACCCTGTCTTTTAGAGCCTGAAACTCAGAAAAGTCACCCCTTGTCAGAAGTTGCAAAGAAAAAAACCTGTTATAGTCTCACGATTTTCAATACATATTAACTTATCATTTCTCCCACATACGATGTCATTGCAGGAGCGTTCTCCTCCTTTCCCCTTCCCTTTCAGCAGAGATATAAAAACAAATATATACCAAGCAACAAAAACCCAAAGGGGAGGGCAAACCCTTCTAGTTTTTTAGATTCTTATTGAAAACACTAACTGAATGTGCTCATCAAGTTTTTCAAGGTCAGAAATCTCAATTTATTGTTGATTGACTGATTCATTTGGTTTTCATTTTTATTCAGTGACTTGGCATTGTACTAATGACATAGCAATAAATAAGGCAGACCTGTTTTTGCCTCAAACAGCTTTTGCTTTAAACCAAACTTCCATTGGCTTTCTGAACCTCAATACTAAAGTCTTGAGTGTTTAGTAATTTTTTTTTTCCTAAAGTGAACAAAATATTTTAGTTCCATTCCATACAGGACCATTTATATCTTTGTTCTTATCTTGCTAAGTAGCTTCTAGCAAATTACTTAATATTTTAGCTGCTTCTTAATTGATGAGCATTTGTGTAAAAAATAATGGTAATGCCATATGATTATGATTTGTGGGTTTTGTGTGTATGCCTTTTTGTTGTTGTTGTTTTATTTTTGGTACTAGGGAATGAACCCAGGACTTTGTCCCTGCTAGGAAAGTGCTCTGCCACTGAGTTACATCCCTAGCCCTGTATTATTTTAATGATTAGTAACTATCCTAAAAGCATACAGCACTGAGAGTTCCAGGTAGTAAGGGGCCCATTTGAAATCTCATTTCCATCTGGCTGCTTATGCAAACGTTTAACTTGTGTTTTGTCCTCTTTATGTATATTTCCTTTGTGGTTGCAGGCATCCCTGATGCCATTATCTGCTATTTGACTTGAAAATTGAACCTGTCTCTTTGAAATATGTTACACAGTTTAAAAAGTGTAAGCAAACTCTGACATTAAAATCAACTTAAGTAGGAGACAAACAAATGAATATAGATGGGGATACTTTTCTGCTTCCCCCCAGCTCCCTCCTCTGTCTGCCCTTTGGCTAGGATGTGCATCATTTGACAGAGCCATAATTCAGTATATGTTCAAAGGCTACAGATTCAGCAGCAAGCACTTAAATGGTACTGTAAGTGATATCTTAACAACTTCTGTTAGGCTTAAAAATGAATCTGTGTAAAGACTAATATATTGTACAATTTTTTAAAAAGATGAATGGAGAAAATAGCCTGACTTTAATAGAGTGCTCTTCCCATAATAGCTGGAATTTGATTCACCAGCATACTCACATAATAGTTTTTGCAGTACTTATACTGTAGTTTAAGGGAACTTCTGGTCTCTAGGCCTTGATTAATTGGAATGTGTGTTTATTCAACCTAAAAAATAAAACATAATAGAATTCCAGTAAGAAAATCACTTTTTTAAACATTTCTTGAAGAGGTATATTTGTGGACCTAGTCACTCTTGTGAATTTTCCAATACATTGACTATAACTGTAGGTACTGACTGCTATAGATATAGGGCCTGGGACAAGTGCTTGTTATGATTGGCAAAGGAGGAGGGCAATGGTCTCAGGATGGTTGATTGACTTTTCTTAGTCAAGGTAACCACCAGTTGACAGCATACCATGGTTCTTGTCCATGTCTTAGGGAAGCTTAAAATGAGGCCCTAAAAAGTATGTAAGAACATGGCATACTTTTAAGTATAAGATCTGTTCATATAGGCCATTATGTTTTGATGGGGGATTGGATTCAACTTTGGTTAAGTCTATATACATAGGGAGATACCAATATAAGACTTCTATTTGCCTTGATCTTCATCAATCTCTTTTAATTGTTTTTTAACCTCCAAGAAACTAATCTCTTAAGGGAAACTGAAGCAATAATTGTATTCTGGAATCATGGTATTGTCCAGTTGCGGCCTTGAGATTCCAAGCAGGCCTGTGGAATTTTGTTCTAAGCATATTAGACTTATGTGCTTGGATAAAAGAACAAATCAATTTTGAGGTGTTTGTGCATTTCTGAGACATGCAGAGCAAATGCAGAAGCAGTGAGGGAGGAGACAGTGTGGATATGCAGAGGAGGAGGCTAGACCCTCTGGATTAACACCTCATCTCTCTCCTGCTCGTGAGAAACTGACACAAAGTAGGATACTGGAGGGAGCAGTGGGTGAATAAATAGATGAAGTTAGATTTTTTGAGCTCTCTGAGTGATGTGAACTAGAAAGACTAAATCAACCTTAGAGAAAATTCAGAACACACAAGGAAAAGATCTCTGAAATATTAACAGAACAATTTATTTCTATAAGCAGTTTAATTCAATGACTTCAAACTGTTGTCCTGACAATTAAGTGCTAATTGGGATGAGTTTAAACTCTGGGATATCTAYAATAAGAAAATATATTTTGCCATAAGATTTTTAGGTTCCCTGTTGGACTCACAGGAAACTATTTTTTTGTTGTTGTTCAACAATAAGTCAACAATATTTATTGAGCATTCATTTTACCCAGAACAACATAATACTTCACTACATTTTGTCTGAGAAACTGAATATGGAAGTTTCTAAGACACACAGATTCAAGGTTAGTAGCATCAGGGACCTCATTAGGAAGCAGCCTCACTGATTCTATGGTTCAGCTTTGAGTTTCCAAAGATTGTGTCAGGATGAAGCTTCTTTACATTTTTTGGTGCCTGGATTTCCTTTTTGTGAAGCTAAGTGATAAATCATATCCGACTGAACCAGCTGCATTTTAGCACTGTTTTTTTTTTTTTCTCTTCAACAAAGGCTCAATCTCCACAGGAGGTTTTCTTAATGTGGAGAAACTGCATCAAACTCAAATCATACTTATAATCAAATCTTGGGATTCTGAGCAGAACAGTTTCT